TATTGTTTATATTGCGCCAAAAGTATTGTACTATGAAAAGTTTGATTATAAAAGAATTTTTTTTTTTTTAAATTATAAATAAAGAAAATTTAATTTAATTATATTATAAAGGAAGATTCAGAATTTATATTAATTAAGTTTACATGTTGTTAAATCATTGAATTTTGATATAATGCATTTTGAATTATTATTAAGTCCGGGCCGGGCCGGGCCTCAAAATTTGGAACTTATGCAGACTTCTACTAATAATAGGAATACTTGTTATTGGTGCGGGCATGATAATGAATTGGCAGAACCTCCGGAAAGACAACCTCAATAAATCATGGCCTTGTTAAGACAAAGTATTGGTTTGGTGGGGCCTTATTACTTATGAATAAATTTCCTGATTTATACTTGGTACCGTGGTCTCCGTAATTTCCAAGTTGCAAAATCTATTGTTCTAAGATGTGCACATATTTTTTCCATTAATAATAATTCATATAATTAGTTAAATTAAAATTCTAGCGAAAAATAACACGCAAACTATTTATCTGTGTATAGTTGTGTATCAAACAATACAACAGTTCAGTTCTCTTAAAATAATAGATGGCTGATTCGATCTTTTTTTTTTTTTGAAATTTCTTTTAGGAATTTTCCTAGCATTTGGGAGTTGCTATTAAAATCACGTATTATTTACTGTGTTCCGTAACTCGATTCTAATAGCAAACCTCCCATTTGTTAAACCACATCAATTAACAATTAAATACTAATAATTCCCCCTTTAAATAATAGTAATAATTATAATCAAACCAAAATCAAAATATACATATACTGTTGTTAAAAGGCATAAAGTTGGACAGGCAAATCGCGCATTAGCTTCGAAATAAACGTGACTATAAAAAATTTTTGAAAAATGCGCCAATGGTATAATTACGGTAGCTCTTTTACCGTTGTTTATAAACTTCATCCTTGCCATATTTTCGAAATTTTCAAATTTTCGGGGAATTTTTAAATAACTCGGCATCAATAATTTAATTAATAAACATCACATGGCGATAACTTGTATTAAACCAGTAAATTATAATTATTTGGTCTGGAAACAAAATAAAAATAGATGATTTATCCACAAATTTAAAATAGAAGTATTAATTGTTACAAATATTTCATTTAGCAATTCTCTGTAGAAACTGCGAAATTGGAGTAGGTATTAAATCAATAACAATGAAATTGTCAGTTGGACAATTTGTCACAGATTATTCGATATGTTAAAACTTCCAAGGCTGTTAAACATTCATTCGTAACTTTACACAATCGCAACAGAAGTTATCTAAAAATCTTTCAGGATTTTCTATCATAGCAGGTTGGTTTTATGCGGTAAAAATGCTAAAAATTCCAAAATGGTAATCAAACCAATCTCCTACTGCGCATAATAATAGCAATAAAAATTTTTTGGATAAAAATAAAATGCATTATTAATAATAAAAAAATTTTCTTTCTAATTTAAAGATTTTTATTAAATGTATATATAACTATGTATGTGTTTGATTATTTTTACATAAAAAGTTCCCCAATCACAATAGAGAAAAAATATATTAAAGAGGAATACAAAGTATTATAAATTACTTTGAATCAATTATTCATTTAATAAGCTATAAACTAATGATTGAGAACTATAAAAAAAAAAAAAAAGATTTTCTTTTACTTAAACAAAAATGCATAAAATTACAATTATAATTTAAAAGAATTTTTTAGACTAGATTACAAAGAAAAGTGTGAAAAGGAATCATTATTAAATCTAACATAATTAAGAATGTTTGCATGTTTATATCGGGTTGAGTTTTGGTGCGTACGTTACAAAAGCGAATATTAAACCAGCAATGCCTCCGGCTGCCTATGGAAAAAAAAAAATTTATTGTTATGCAAAATTGAATACTAATGAAAATTTATTCAAAAATAAATGTACCGGCAAGGTTAATATCCAACTAAAGAAGCACCATGCTAGAAGTTTCCAGTTAAGCGCTTGCCATTTTCCATTACATAAACCAACGGCGGCAGTCGCGCCTGTAATGCAATGTGTTGTAGACACCGGAAGTCCTTTTTTTTTTTTTTAAAAAAAAAAATAAATAAATAAATAAATAAATATTTTACAAATTTTACAAATACTAAGAAATAATCTGTAAAATTTTCCCTTATTATTATACATACCCATTTTTGAAGCCGTTAATATCGTGAGTGATGTTCCCAATTCCATCGAGAATCCACGAGCTGGTGAATGGTATGTAATACGGTTACCAAGCGATCGCATCACATGGTAACCATAAAATATAAGCCCAATATCAATAGCAGCACCACCCAAAGCTAAAATCCAAATCGGTACAGGTGCTTTTCCTAACGTTTGAGTAGAAATAAAAACTTGTTAAGAATTCAATTTCAGGATGCATTTATCAAAGCAATAGAAAAAAAATTTGGATATACCAGATGGATCCACTGTACCGGATCCATAAATGAGAACGATTGTAGCCAATGGCCCGACCGCATTTGCTACATCATTTGATCCATGAGCAAATGATGCGAATGCAGCTGTAATAACTTGAAGGAATGAATACAGTTTTTCAGTATCCGGGTCATATTTGGTAGCAACATCATGCATCTTCCGATCAATATCTGCCTTATAATCAGCTACTTCTTTACTTAAACCAGATTGAACAAATTTATTAAACAAGGAAAACCATTTATGGAAGATACTTTTCTTTTTCGTGTTTGAACCATCATTTGATAATTTTCCTTCAACAACGATATCCATTGTATCCTTGCTATATTTCGATGATTTTTCACTTATTCCACTCGTTCCACCCAATGTAACATCATTTTCATAATCATTTAAATGATGAGGTCCAATGAATGGAATAATAAAAATATGATACCATTTAAGAGCCCTTTCATTTCCTAGTATCTTACGTCCTAAAAATATTTTTGAGAATTAATATAGGTATTTTTGTTCAAATCTTCATTAAAAGGAAATGTTGCGCATCACTTACTTAACCATTGTGCATAGAAAAAATAAGAAAAAGCTGACACTACAAGAGTAATGCCGAAAACGATAGGGGCGATGACGTGACTTGGGACTTTATCAAGGTTTAATCCGTCGGACCCCTTATAAATAAGGAAGAGTACATTTACGGCAGTCGTAATTCCAAAGTACACCGGTACGGCGACTAAACCGCGTTGGAAGGAAGTATCTTGATATGCTAGAACAAAATATTTTGTTGCTGAGAAGATAACAGCAGCTATGAGACCAGCTGCAAGAGGTGAAATGAACCATGAAGTAACAATTTTTGCGACTCCATCATATGACCAATCAACAGCTTCCTTAAATTAATCAATTCAAAAATTTTGAATAAATATATATAATTCATTTATTTATAAAGGAAAAAAAAAAAAACAACATACTGGACCAAATGCCACAATTCCAACTCCAATAATCCCTCCAACTAAAAACAAAACAGATTTCAATTAGATGTTTATTGTGAGCGCAGCGCTAACTTAAATCGTATGACACCAACCAATTGAATGCGTAGTCGATACGGGCCATCCTTTTGAAGAGGCGAATATTACCCATGTCGCTGATCCGAACAATGCGCAGACCATACATAACTAAAATTCAAAAAAATAAATGAATTATGCTGGTTAATTTGTAATAAAGTGAAGATGACGACATACCATGAGTATTTCGGGTTGTGCTTCGAATATGTCGACATTCAAAATGTCTCCACGAATAGTTTCCGTAGTTTTTGCACCCAATAAAAAGGAGCCAAGGAACTCAGTAAAGAAGGCGATGGTACAAGCTTGCCGTAATGTAAGTGAGCGAGAACCAACTGAAGTTGAAAAGCTATTCGCGACATCATTGGCCCCAATACCAAAACCATCGGCAAAGGCTACGACTAAGCCCAAAACCAATAGCCAAGTATAAGAGTAAGGTTCCATTTTTTAAAATTTAAACTTTCCCAGGGCACCGAATAAAGAAAGGCGAAGGAAAGTGATTTTAACTCCCTAGGAAAAAATATAATTTTATTATATAAGGTATTTCATAAAATGAAAATTTAAACTTTATCGTTTATATATGCTATATCAAGTTTATATGCATTAAACAATCTTATTCAATCTTGCTACTGATTTTTATACGGTAGATATAAAAATAAAAATAAAAAATTTGATTCCCAAAACTTTATATTTGATTCAACCTTTTTAACATACTAGAGGATTTATTCGAGTTAATAATTTATATACCATAAATATATTGAATTCTTAATTATGGTAGCATCATTTTATTTAGACATAGATTATTGGTGCCAAGAATGCAAATGGGCTGGTTGAATTTGAAATTGAAGATAAAAAATTTAAAATTTAATCCTTTTTTAAAATTAATTGTTCCGCAAAGATTTTTTGTGCATACTTGTGGGATTTGATTCGTCAATTAGATTAGGTCATTTGTAGTTATATTGTAATGTAGAAAATCGAAGTAAATCTTAGATCGACAAGATGTCAAAAAATAATTCTTAATCCTATATGGGAAAAGTCGCACTTTTTTTTTCGCACTTAGTTTGTGACGCAGCATACATGTACATTTTATTGATTTATTAAATCGAAACATTTCTGCATAGTATTCTACGTAAAAAAAATTCATAATGTTTACTACTGATGTTGAGAAATATCACATAATTAGCTAAATCCCAATATTCGTTATTATAAATTTTTTAAAAATGTTATATAATACCGGCCGCTAATTTTGAACCCTTAAAAGTTGATCGTTTTTTCCCCATGAAACAGAAATATTTTTGATGATATTGAGAGATTAGGAGATATTTTCTTTATATACGAACTCGTCTACTGAATTGGTATAAATTTAAAATTATGTCTTCTTTTGTATTCAACAAAATAATGATGCAGTTGTAAAATTTGCAAAATATGGAGCAAATTTACTATTATTATTAAATGATTCATTTAAGGCTTCATCTATCATAAAACCATATTTTCATCATTTAATAAATTTTCAACATTTTTATTTAATGATTTTCTTTATATAATAATTCACTATTGATGATGCTTCACTATTTAATAATAATTCATTATTATTATAACAAAAATACCCTAACTTACTTTTAATCTTAATATATTATGTAAATCAATATAAAATTGAAAATTTTAAAAGTGTATCAATTTCTTATAATTAAAATTTATAAAATATTTTAAAATATCATTAACCAATCAATAATTAATTTTAATTAAAATAACTTATAATTTAGTTAAATATGATCATATTATCTGTAACGTGATTTTAATAGCAAACTTCCCATATACACTACCTGGAAATAAGTTTGCGCGGTCAGTTTTTTGAATTTTATTCAAAATTGTATATAATAAAATCAATTGATTTTGGTACCAATTGAAAACCCTGATTCTTATTTATATAACTGTTTGTTATTGTAACATATACAAAATAAAAATAATTCTAAACATAAATAAATATAACATAATGATAATCAATCTAACAACTTATTTTCTAACTAAATGAGTAAAAATCCTGAACTTACCATTATTGAACGAGCACAAATAATCAGACTATATAAAAGTGACCACAGAAAGTCCGATATTGTTAGAATTATAAATTGACCAGAGTCCACAGTTAAAACAATAATTCAATGATATGGAGATTCAGATGACATGTTAAGCAAAAAAAGAAGTGGTCAGCCTCCGTTACTTAATAATAAAGATCACAAAATTTTAAAAAAATTGTTAAAAAAAATAATAAAGCTTCAGCTGATATAATACAAAAGAAATTTTCAACAACAACTGGTCAAGATATTTGTATCAAAACAATTCAGAAAAATTTGCATCAAATTGAATACAATTCTTATCAAGCTGCAAAAAAAACTATTTTTAAATGAAAATTAATATCAAAAACGGCTAGAATGATGCTTAGAAAGACAAAATTAGACAGTACAACAATGGAGAAATGTCATATAGAACGATGAATCAAAGTTTACTCTTTTTTGTAATGATGATCCTTCTTGAGTTTGATGTGAATTAGGTACTCATTTTAATATTAAAAACCTGAATCTATCCATTAAATATGGTGGTGGCAAAGTCATGGTATAGGGATATTTTTCAGGTAAAGGATTGGGTCCTTTAGTGAAAATAGAAGAAATAATCAATCAGTATGATTATATAAAAATCTTAGATAATAACCTGTTACCATTTATTGATTTAAAGTTTTGTAACTGATCTTACAAATTTCAGCACGATAATGTACTCATTCACATAGCTAATAATGTTAAAGCATAGGTTACTAAAAAAAAATTAAAATATTAATTAACTAGCCTGCCCAATCTTCAGATTTGAATCCCATTAAACATCTTTGAGATCATCTTAAACATTTATTGTATAATCATTCAGATCTGCCTAAAAAACTTGCAAATTTAAAAGTGTAACTAAAAGAAAAATGGAAAAAAATTCTGCAAGAAACTTATCTAAAATTAATTAATAGTATGTCTTAAAGAATAGAAGCATGTATAGTCAATAATATTTGGCCAACTAGATATTAATATTTTGTTAAAAAAAATGATAATAAACTATTTTTTCAAAACTGCACAAATTTATTTACTATTTTTTTAAAACTGCGTAAACTTATTTTCAGGTAGTGTATATTAATTCTTTAATAATTACAAATTAAGAAAAATTCTTTAATTCTTTATATTTATAAAATTTATTTTAAAATAAATTAGCATTTATTTAATTTTTAATAAAATGTAATAATTTTTAAATGTTATATATTTATATAAAAATTTAAAATTTTTATTAATTTAATTATTATAAGAATATTAATATTAATCAATTTTTATTTAAAATAATTTAAAATTAAAAAATTAAATTTAATTTTTAATTAATGAATTAAATTAATTTTGCTAAATTGAATATTAATTAAATAAATTCACATTAATATTTTTAAATTAAATATATTAAATTAATATATGATTATCACTAATTTAATACTAATCAATTTTAGATTTAATATTAATTAATATACTTACATTGACCTAAATTACTAATAAATTTATTAAAACAATCTCTCTTTAGTCACATTATATAGTATTTTTATAATCATATCATTTTTTGTCAATTCTGAAGGATATGACTTTAGAGAGGATCGACTGTATTATAAAATATTAGAATTATATTTTAAATATATATTTTATTATTCAAAAATAAAATGAGTAGTTATTTTTATTAATAAGAAAATAGACTTTATTATATTTTAAATTAGTTTATTAATTATGATTTATTAGTTATTTTAATAATTAATTTTAACTTATTATTTAAATTAAATTATATACATTAATAAAGAATTAAGAATATAATTTATTAATTCCTAAAAGTTTTTTAAAACTTAAATTTTTTATTATATTTGTATTAGTTTATTTATGATTTTTTTGTTTTTAAATAAAAATAATATAATTTTTATTTATTTTATTTTGAATTTTATTTTATTATTGATATTAAATAATTTTAAAATTAAAATTTAATTTAAAAAAAAATAATTTTAATAATTATTATACTAGTTTATTTTCTTTATATTTTTTATTATTTTTTATAATTTTTAAAATAAATTAAGTTTAATTGAATTAAATTAAAAAATTTTTTTTATATTATTTTTTTTTCTTTTTTTTTCTTTTTTATTATCATTCTTTTTATATTCTTTTATTCTCTTTTATTTATATTTTTTTTTTATGTATAATTTTTTATTTTATTATATTATTTTTAATTTTTTTTATTTTTATATTATTTTTAATTTTTTGTACTTTTATATTTATTTTTTATATTTTCTTTTTTTTTATTATTTTTATTTATTTATTTTTCTTTGCTTTTTTATTTTTCTTCCTATTATCTAATATTTGCTTTATTTTAAATTTAATCTAATAATAAATAAATAATAAAATATTAAAGATATAGATAACTTTATTTAAAAGATTTATTTAAAAGTTAAATACAGTATAGATATTTAAAAATTATATAAATATAGTATATATAAATATATTTTATGATTAAAAATGTTACTTAAATCTAAAATTTAATTAAACTAATTTTTTTAAAAAAATCAAATTATAATAATAAATCTATGATAAATTAGTAAAATTTAATTAAATTTAAATTAAATTTAATTAAAATAACTTAAAGTAATAAATATTAGTTTAGTAAATAATTATTTATTATTTATATTATTATATAAACTTTAATTATAATATTTTCTATTTAAAATATTGATAATAAATATTAGAAAAGAAATTAAATTAATATTTTATATATAGTATTTTGAGATACTATATATAAGAATTTGTATTTCTTATAATAAATTATAATTCAAATTTAATATGAATTATTTTTAAATAGCTAATTTTTTAAGTTATTTATTTATATAAAAAATTGGTATAATAATTCCTTACTATAAATAGTTAAATATATTTTAATTAGATATTGAGTAATAAAATATTATAAGCAAGGTTATTTATCTAAACTCATTTTTAACAAAATATTTAAACTATAATTTTGCTAATTATTTTTAAGATTTTAATATAGTTTTACAATTTTATAAACTTTATATAATTTTACTTTTTCAGAGTTTTGTAAATTTTAATAAAGGTTTATTATAATTTTATTATAATTTTATTAAATTTTACTTTTTATTACAAACCCCTGCCAAAAGTCTCTGAACGCTTTTTAGCTCAATGTAAAACTTAAAATTTTAAAGTTTATTAAAAAATTTATTAATTTATTTATTAATATACGATATGCTACATATTTGGTACTAAATAATTAGTACTTGATCAGGTCTTTATTTGCTTTATTACAGCTTAAATTTGTTGCAATAAATCACTTCAGCCAGCTTTATTGCGAATCTTTAATTAAGAATAGTCAACCAGAACAAAATC